CTTTCATGGAATTCTTTAAAAAATTGGTGTTTCTCTTGTGCAACAGGGAGGCTTTATCGAGCACTAAGAGAAAGATTGGAAGAGAGTTTCTATTTATGGTGTTTTGAAATCTCTCTCCTATGGTCCACTCTTTCCATTTTCTTTCATGCAATAAAGTTTTAATTCCTGTTTAAATCATTGTTTGTTGTCATGGAAATGGCTGAAAGGTTTGACTATAGAATGATTATGGTTTTATTGCGGAGAGATAGAGGAAGAGGAAAACAGACTTCATGGGAGAGATCTCCCATGTAAAAATGATGCATCTCYACCAATTCTCAGAACAGCAAATTCAATTATTTGATCATATCCAGGGGCAGAAGATGTTACAAGTTTTATTACAAATGCTGCATTTTAAGAGTAGAAGGGAGCATCTGGCGTGTGCTTTCAAAGGTCACAGTTCAATAAGTATCACAAGTGGATGCTGCTGTTGAAAATAGTGGTAATCTGACTTAATCTAGAAAACAGAATGTGCTCAAATCACATTGCAATTGCTTATATGGAAGTAAATATCCGCAAGCAGACTGCAAAATAGTGCTAATTGATTAGCAAGGCTTTGCTCCATCACTGCAGATTCAGAGCACGCATCCTGGAGTTGCCTTTTCACCCAGTGTCCGCCTGTTTCACCCCTGCCTTAACCCCTCTCTTCGTTACCTCTTCGTTAAGCAGAGAGGGAATGTGGCTCAGCAGTCACAGGTAAGTTTGCTCTCAGTCAAAACTATATACAGTTAATTAAATAATTTATAGCGTGAGAGTAGCAGAAGGTCATTCTGCAATTTTTTTTTTTTTTTGAAGGTCCGATGACATTCTGCATGAACAAGATCCCAGTTTCAGACTTCATGTCACTGTTACTGCAGTCCTGGAGGCAGCAGACACCCGTCCTGTGATTCCCAGAACAACTTTACAGCAAGGGATGGATATATTCACTTGACTGGTGTGTAGTTACTCATATTACTAGTATTCCTTTGACTTGTGCTAGTGCCTGAACATGCCGGGGGGGGGGGCTGGATAATTAATTATTCCTGGTCCTATTTTCCTAATTCTTTTTKGATGCTTCTGTGCCCAGTATGATATGGGAAGTGTTAACTTGGCTGGATTTGGCAGCAAACTGGCAATTCATTCACTTGRCCTTCCACCAGTAGATGTGTGGGATGAGTATGGATGACTCAACAATACAAGTTGAGAATAATCTGAGCTGAAGAAGTCCTATCAGATGAAACTAAAGGTATCTTTAAGAGCGATTTGTGCCGTGGTTCTCTTGTGTTCAGATTGCTGCTTTTTAAAGGGCAGTTTAAACAACTTTGGGTTCCCTAATGTTTGCTCATGCTCCTGGTGTCATCTGTGTTGTGTGTTCAGGGCAAAAGGCCTATGTGTGCCAAAGACTAAGAAGTCTTGAATCCTATTAGCTAACTGTGATACAACTGCCCAYCAAAAAAATGGGAAACTGCTTAAATGATGGGCTTCTGACCCACGCTACAGCTCTGGCTCCAGCAYTGCTGTCTTGGCCTGGTGACCCAACAGGGTCACCCCTAAAACTGAAGAAGAAATTAATGGGAATGTCTTCATAGTTTCTGGTTGCAAATATCTCAGCAAACAGCCTGGTGGCGCAGGGCAGCTGTGGTGTGGTGGTGAAGCAGGTGACACGTACCCTGGTCATCAGAGGACAGTGTACATTTTTTAACGTGTAATGTAGCATGTGGTTTCAGACTTTTAATATGAACGAGAGAAATTCTGGAGAATGTTCTCCATATTTAATTAATTTTGATGAAAAACTTATAGACCTCTGTGTAACAATGTCTAAAAAAAGRCCCAACCTAGGAAAATTTGCTTCAGTCCTGAAGATCATCCAAATCTATCCCAAATTTCTGATGCTGAAGGGTGCAAGATGCATTGGAGGGATGTGGGTCTTGTCTCAGTACACCTTTTTTTTTTTTTTTTTCCTATTATATTCATCCTTACAGTCTTTCTTAAACCCTAACACTTAGATGCCAGCTGAAACCTAAAAAATGTGGATCTCAAAATCTCAACATGAGGATCAGGCTTTTTAGCTCGTGGGCAGCAAAATCAGGGATGTCCCTGATTCTTTTTGAGCAAGTGAATACTGCCATAATACAGCCAATAGTCATGACATCCACAAAGAGAAGCAAAAAGATATAAATCTGTTTCTGTAAAGCAATGTAAAATATAATAAGAGCAAGTTGGTTGATATGCCCCCTTTCCCATGGAAACACCAGAAAACCAAACTAAACCAAAGAGAAGCACAGAGGTAAATGTGTTTACACTATATAGGACCATTAGTGTGGTGACCATTCCTTGGTTAAATGTAGGTATGTATGTGCTGTGCTTCATGTAGGTATTTATGTGCTCTGCTTAAACCAGCAACTTGGGACCTCCAGTTTACTCCCACTTTACCAGCTGTGTGCAAATGGCCATGTATGAATTCAATACATTCTCTGCTATAATCCAGTAACAGTAAGGATGTTTCCATGTTAAATAGAGTAAGGATGAGATGTTTCTGTACTAAATACATTTCCAGTGCTTGAATTATTACTAAAGCCCAGGAATGGGAGGAATCCTCGAGGGAAGTGCCCAACGTTGTGCAGACTCTGGTGTACAGCCAGTGCACCTCCCTGGTGGCACTCCACTAGTTCTATTTCATAGCAACCTGTCGTTGGAGGAAAGATTTCAGACATTGAATTGAAACCAGTAAACACTGCAAGACTGAACAATTCATTAGTAAAGATGTTTTATAGAAAACATAGGCATAAAAATTACAAAGTCTGTATGCCCTACAACCTACACCCACATAAAAAATTTGCTACATTCACCATTTGGCATAGAGTAGTGAGATGAAAGTGATGATTCAAGGTGCAAATCTACCAGCTGAAGCTGATGTATCTTTCTGTTCATCTTCAAATGTGCCCTGTGTGATACAGCTTTATAGTCTCTCCACAAGATATCTGGCAAGCATGGCTTGGGATTATTCAGAAATAAAATATGGTTATTCAGTATGATCCCATTTGAGCTATGCTCTGCATGCAGACACCAAGGATACGTATATGTAGGTAAGAAAGAAGACCAGGTCTGGAAGCATTTCCTGAACGAGTCATTATGATATTATATATTGGGAATTGAAGAGTGACAGGAAACAAAAAAAAAGCTACATATAATAGGCAGTTTGTCTTACTTTGAGCTCTTAGTTTGTGTAGTTTCCCACATTTCCACAGTTTTCTTCCAGTCCTTTCTAACAGAGTGCGATTACTGGGTAATAGAAATAATATCTGAGACATACGGAGGGTTCTTGTTCTAAATTGTCACCAATAAATCTGCATTTTTTTTCTTTCAAATGAGCATATAATGTAACTTTTTTTTTTTTTTTTTTTAACAAATTTAGCTGTTAAATAGACTCAATGACTAGAGGATTTCATCCAGGAGTCAATCTTGTGCTTATACAAACAGCCCAGGCTATTTGTAAAGATAAGCAGCTACCAAAATCTTTTCACCAAGGAGTCATTTCGCTATGCAGGAAATGGTYTTGTATTGCCCAGCTTTTTGTAGGTGGGATACCATTACTGAATTAAGTACAAAGGAAAACTGGAGAAAAGTTTTGTAACAATATTTTCAGTTTCATGCTGAATTAGATGACTTTTGAATAAGCCAAATCAAAGCATTCCAGTTAAGGATAGAGAAATTCACACCCTGACCACCACAGAAAGCAGCAAAATGAAAACAAACAAACAAAAAAAAAAACTAGCAACCATTGACTGGAATCATAATTTTAGCTGGAAGCCAGCAAGCACTTCTTTGCTCCAACTTGTGAAGAAAAAGGCTTTTCAGAAGTCCTCCTCCCGCTGCTCGCACGCAGTGGGGTTAGGTGAACAACAAGGTGATGCTGTTCTGGGTCACAAAATAAAGTGGTTGTCATTCGTTTCCTCTCATTAACAAACAACTCAGGGAACTGAACAAGGCATGTTTTTGCTCCCAAGACCCATAAGCAAGGGTCGTACAGGAATTTGTTCATTACCATCATTTGAAGGTTCCCCAGGCAACCTTAACTTAGCAGAAGACCGACCACCACCTTGTCCTCCACCACTTTGTCCTCCTSGCACCGTTCTGCTGATATCAAGCAAGTCTTGCAGAGCAGCTATCTGCCATCCCTCTTCTCTTTCACCTTCTTCTCCTCATCATTTTCACTAAACCTAATTAAAATGCACACGTGGTGCAACTGGGCATCGCTCCACTGCTGATATTGTAGAGATGCTGATTTGTGCAAATAGAGACATATGTAAATGTATACATATATAAAACAGTCCTATTTATATGGTTACAAAAACAGTGGCTCACAGAAGTTTTTAAAAAAAAAAAAAAAAAAAGAATTACAAAAATATATCTATCCCTTCTTGCAAAAAAAACCTAAAATGAGAACGGAAGGACCTAAACTGAGCTCATGTTAAGGTAGAGATAGATGTGTAGAGATAGATGTGTATGTTTTCCTCAAAATGCCAGTCATCACGGTGCATTATTATGTGCTGCTTCCTACCAATAGCAGACAGTCCAAGTAAACATGGAAGCAGCACAATATGCTCAACTTGTKGCAAAAGTCTAAGAGAATTCAGTGTTTAAAGGGAAAAAAAAGCGCCCTTCTTCTGGATCACACCCTCGCTGTCAGCAAGCACAGCAGCAAGTATGTTCCTGAGCCTATTGCTTGTCTAGTAAAACCTTTGCAGGGTGTTGGCTGAGTAAATAGGCAGGACCATAATGTCCTGGCATCTCAAACTASTGGCCAATTTTAAACCTTTTCTGTACAATTGCAGCAGGTGGGATTTTTTTTTTTTTAATATATACAACATACTGATTAAGATGGACTTGCATTTAATTCTGAAAAATGCCTAAGCACATATTTAATTTCAAGCACATAAACACTCCCTTGCTAGTAAGGCCATTCATGTGCTTAAAATTAATTAGGTACTTAAGTGCTTGGCTAGATTAGAGCAGAGATGCAGTGCTGCGTATCTGCTGGCCTTTTGCTTCTGTAAAACTGAGGTTCAGATAGGAGCTAAGTCTTATCAGAGTAACTCCACCAGCATCTGGCACCGTTGGATGCACCAGGATGCTCAGGGCAAGGTCCAAGTGCAGCCCATCGGTGACATTTGGTTTCCAGTTCCAGCCTGAGTAACTACAGGAGCAGCAGCTCCCATGCGGCTCAGCAATGATTTTGGGCAGTGTTTTATCTGCTCTCGCCCAAGGTGGCATCTGGATGCTGTAAACCCTGGTTCTTCCCCAACCCTCTGAGACTGTGCAGCTGCTCTTCCTCCTCATCGGCTCTTCGGAGCCTCTCTCCACACAGCCAGACCTCTTCCRCGAGCTGAGAATGGGGAGTCCAGTATCACAGGTGCTGTCTGCTCTCCAGCCCAGATTTTATACAATTTCAAGCCGGACCTAACTGTGCAAAYGAGTTCCTGGAGCGTGATCAGAACCTCCTAACTGATCATAAAGGCTCCAAAGAAACTTGCCTCTTTGTCCATGTCAACTATATCCCCATTGCTGACAGACACGAAAATTCGGTCATCCCTTTTGAGCTGGAAAACACCCCCTTGGTAGATGGAGTGCAGCCCGTACTCGGCCTTCCTCGACCAGCAGCTTGTCCTGGCGCTCTTCATGAGCAAAATGGGCTCAGGGTAGTTGGTCAGTTTGTAAACGTACTGGACCAGCTGCTTGGGGTTCCTGATCTGGGCCAGCAAACCCGAGTCCTCGTGCTCGTTTTCACGGAAACGGAAATATGTTTGTGAGTAGATGTAGTAGAAGCCTGTCTTGGGCACCACGAGCTCGCCGTTCCGCAGCTCCACGTTGTAGAGGAAGGAATGGCCCTTGTGCGACGACTCCCAGCTGTTGATTTTTTGGCCTCGGCCCTTTCTGGGTGTGGAATCTGCTGCAGAAAATAAAAAGGAGAGAGGAGATGTAAAGTTAAAAGCACTTGAGTAATTAAGCCTGGGGTCTGCTTTTCCAAAAAGAAGCCCGTAAATTGGCTGCTCCCATTGGTTTCAAAGGGTGGCCCATTAGGCCTATTTTCTGCAATTTGAAGGTCACTGGAGTCCTGCAAGGGCACCAAAACCCCACCAGGCCCTTCATTAGCACAGCTCTGTGTCTGATCTTGCATTTCTGCTATGTCTCTCACCAGAGCAGCTGGCACTTGCACAGCCAACAGAAGGAAATTAAAGGAAAGTGAAGAGGATGCCTCAACATTAGGAAGAAGGATTTTATTTACTGTTATTTTTTCAGATGAAGCCTCCAGAAGAAAAGTTAGTGAGGCATCCAGAACCAAAAGGACTTTTCCCTATGCAACRGGAATGAGCTGGGGGGAAAAAAAAATTCTCAATCGGACACAAAGGCATTTTGGTGCTTGTTTTCTCATTATTAACTCAGTGTAAGCATAGAGAAGCCCCAAGCTAGCAAAGAGGGCAGAAATGGCAGTTTTTATCCTTACTGCGTGGGGCCAGGGAGTTCTTCTTGTTGCTGCTGCCCGTCAGATGCGCCGCTATTCGGTAGATGGGATCCGTGTGCGGCTGCTCGTTGGTGCTTGGAAATGCAAGGGCTCTCTCAGCTAAACAAGGACAGAAACAAACTTGGATTAGAGCCGATGATGGCGGTAAGTGCCTTATAAATGTGGCTGTCATTTTTCTTAACTGATTATAGTGTAGACAGGGCAGTTTTGTATAACAAGGCTCATAATTCTCTCTTGCTCCCTTTCAGRTGTCTTTATATGCCTCTTTTTGCTTGCCTTCTTCCTTTCCCCCTCCTCGTATTCTCTGGGCACCCGGCTCTAAACGTTTGGCCTTTAATTCTGGCTCCCAGAAAGATAACTCCTAGAAACACATTATCCTTTTCCTCTAACCTGCCACACAAGAATTGGAAATAATGAGGCAAAATCTGAAGTCCCTGGTTTCTGCGCTTTTAAAAAATTGCCCAAAACACATCAGACCCATCAGCAACCTCTATTTGCCACAGTTAATAAAATGACTGTAATACCGTTGACTGCAGATATGTTTTCCTCATAACTTCTTGACATCATCTGCCAATAAACACAGAGAAAAATAATTAGTTTGTCAGCAGAAAGCAATAGAGGCAGGAAATAGACACTTTTCCCTCGGACTCGCAAATAAATGGCATTATGAATTTTTGACCATTGAGCAAATCAAAAAAGCCTGTATCATTAATTCTTTCTAATAAAGTATTTCCACAGCTGATTTTTTTATGTAACTAAATGTCCTGGGGTGGGGGAAAGCATTTTCAAGAGTGCCCGGCCAGGAGTTTTTATTCATTCTGAAAATGTGACCCTTATGCTCTTCTTCAATAAGAAGAGATTTATGGGCAAGCACCCATTCTTATTCAGYAAATAATACTTTGCAGTGCCCGACTTCCTTGGGATTTTAGCTCTCAGAAATTAAATTTGTTTTCTTTTTATACCTCTATCTATCTACTGTGTTTTTAAGGTAGCTTCTTCCCTACATCTACTCTTTTTTCATAACCGTTTGCTGGCTGCTTTTAAATGAAACATTTTAGTTGCTACAGGCAGGACAGCTGTGGCAAAGCTGCCTTTAAGATGATTTACCTTGATGATAAACCTGGTCTCCATACTGTGATTTACTGCTGGGTTCTGCCCTGACACAACTGGGCAGTTTCTCCTAACTATACCAGCCTTTTGGTGCAATGAAGGAGCTAGTAGATAGACTGGGCATCTATTAGCTATTAGATATATTAAGATACATAAATGACCACAAAATAAAACACTGTTCASGCAGCAWGACAGGGATTTCACTGGTAGAACTTGCACTGAAGTACCTAAGATCTTTAACTACTAAATACAGTGTCRATTAGGGGATGCAAAGCCTGAAGTGAATATGTATGGATGGGGGGTTTAAACGCTGGAGGTGAGATTTTTGAGAAGCATTCCTGGGGATTTTAGCCCTTTGAGCTTTCAACCAGGTATCATTTCTTCCCTGCAGCCAAGGCTATGAGGTGCAGGATGCCAGGCTGGTGGGAGCGCGTGGTGCCTGGTGCTGTGCTCTTGTTCACCCACCCTGTCCCCTCAACGTGTTACACAGCTTCAGGTAGGACTGTCGCTTGGGTACCTTGCTGCTGCATTTTATCTCATTTGCTTGTGACAAGTATTTTCRCATGGAGAATGGCTTTTCTGCAAATAAGGGCAGGTAGAAAGCAAGTGTTGGGGGGAGTCGAGCAGAGCTCCTGTTTGTACAAGTGGGAAGCAAGAGCCAAAAAGGGACTTGCTTTGGTCTGTTGTATTCCCTTTAACAGTAATGGACTTACTAATGGTTTATTCCATAGAGTAGGGGCATTTGGTCTCATTATCTCCACCCTGTTCCAGCTTGAGCCCAACTTGATTCTGCTGTTGGGCAGTAGCTCTTCAAGATGGTCAAGCCCCATAGTTCAACCAGTGCACGGGTTCCCACATACCTTTTTAATTAACTTTCCCAGTTGCCACTTGACTTGCCAGCAGGGATCAGCCTCTTCCTCCCCATTTGGAATTGTGTCCAAGTTTTGTATGAAGTTTCCGAGCTCTTCACCGGTGAGGCAGGCAATGCTGCTCTTTGAGTAGGTGTCCTGGAGCTGTGTTAGAAGTGAAAGCAGAACTTCTTATTTATGATGTGCTCGTGGGCTTTTGGCTGTAGTACATCTCTAATTCACTACGTTTAGGTACATACTTGCTTTTCCTGGTAGTGCTTACTGGTCTGTGCAGGTTGTGACTGACAGAATGCGCCATGCATCCTGATTTTGCATCTTTATTTCATAACAAGGCAATACCTAATATATATGGCACTCAACTAAGTAAGCTTAGTGGTCCAACACCTAAGTTCAACACCAAACCATAACCTTGTAAATGCTTTAGTCTCTCTGATTCAGCATTTAAAAACACCTTTTTGGCACAGTGGATTTTTCTTCGCAAATTACAGAGAATTAAATCAAGCATGAGGCCTTTAAAGTTAGTTAAAAGCCTAAAAGGCCATTCTGTATTTTCAGAAAAGTGCTACCTCTGATGCAGGCTTTCCCTGGCAGGTATCCATGGCAGTCTGGGATCACCCTGTAGTAACCTGGAGCTCTTTTGGCCTAATAGTCCAGAGTGAAACCCAGATAACAGAGATGWTTGGGTTCAGATGGAATTATAAACCTAAATGCTTGGGCCGGTGCTTATGCTCTGAGGGCAGACAGAAAGCACCTTTTTTTCCCAACAGATAAAAAGGAAATGAGTTTGCAGAGTGCCAAAATTCCTGTTGACTTCCTGAGCATGTAAATGATATCAGAGGAGCTCTCCCAAGCTGTGCTGCACATGCAGGGCTAGGCCACGTGCAGGACTCAAGCTGGCGCTGTTGCTTAACGTAAGAGCACCAAAGCCCGGGAGTAATCGCTGCAGATTATGAACTCCTGCTTGCTTTGAACTCAGGAGTGCTGCATCAGCTGTAAGGGCTGGTGAGACTCGTTATGCAAGGAAAGGATTACATAAAATTTGGAAAAACAGCAATCGRCAATGAGCACGCAGAGCTGTTCAGACCAGCTTCTGGTTTTAGTATTTCACCTCTGTTGCATTAAAGAAGTTTGGTTTGGTTTGCTCTGCATTAACTCAACGTGGACCAGAGATTCAGCTGCCCTTGAGACAGCAGCACTGAGCACAGCAAATAAGAGCTTCCTCCTCCACCTCCTCCTCCTCACTCCATTCTTTTCCTGCCTGTCAGGAAACAAAGACATTTAGGAACAGATTTCACACTGGGAGGATTAGAAGAATCCACCCACTTTACACTGCAGTTGTTCTGCTGTCTATCAGCAAACCTTTGAGTTGGACAGCAGACTTAATCTGGAGCTTAATCTGATATTTGGAAAGATTCCTGTGCTTTGTTGTTAACCATGAAAAATGGTGCCACCACACTGASTGTCCATGAAGACTGCTGTGTCTGTGTTGGGGACGACACTGGTATTTTTATATAAGGTTTCTTGTTCTGAGAACTCAAAAGTCTTTGAAAGTTATGGATTTACTGAGGTAAATCTGCACTTAAACTAAGGACATTGATGGCTTTATTACACTAGATTCTATAACAAGACAGTTTGAAAAACAGCATGCAGGCCAGTCATCTGTTTACTCTCTTATCACATCTGGCAAAATTCACTTCCAAGCTTTGCCCTCCCAGCTGGTAGCAAAGGGTAGTGCACTTTGGCCTTTTGTTTACCAACCTCCCACACACAACAGCTTTAGAACACAGGCCCTGGAACAGGATTTTGCATCCACATGGAGATCTGCAGGGATTACAACCTTGTACCACCACTGACAGCTATGGATGCCCTATAGGTAGAGGGAACAAGGCATCTGGGTGTTGCAAGGCTTATCCRAAGCACAGAGATCTCTGCCATGGAAAGCCCTGCAGCAATGTTAATAGAATGTGAATACTTCTAAAACCTTTCTTCTTCCAGGGCTACTACAAGGACTATGTTTTTGAAAAGGAAGTCTGAGGATATTTGCTTTTCAGCCCTGTATCCTGAAGCATAATGAACTTTATTGTGTTGTCTTCCTGACTACCAAAACTGAAACAAGTATCTGTAGCTCTAACAGCTACAGCTGTAGAGATAAAAACTGCTAGCTAAAACCCTTCCTTTTGTAAAGGCAGAAATATCTGCACTGCAGCCCTAGTAATGTGGGGAAGCTGTGGAAAGGCAGATACTGGGAGCAAAGAGAAGAAAAATGAGCAAAGATCACAGTGTGTATGTTGAGATTCATTCCACGTTCACCACGAGGATGTGGGGCAGCTCTCTGTAGCTCTAGATTAGCTTTTCATGTCTTTATCATGCACCAGATGAAGCACTGCAGAGTGTGTGCTTAAGGTGCAGCATATATCACAGGGCCAGCAAGGTTACTCTTTAAGCGAGCAGAACTTCAGCATGAGCAGACTCAGTCTTTCACACCAAGTGCAGGCGTATTATTCTTTGGAAAGAGTTACATTTTGTGCAGATGTGGTCCTGTTCAGGTATATGTATTTCAGTGAGAGCCAGGGAAAGGAAAGTGTGGCTAGTCCTTACTTAGATTGGCAAGGTTTTTTTTTTTTTTTTTTTTTGCATGAATAAGTGAGAAGGCAGAGGATGTAATTTTTCTTCATTACTGATATTATGTGATCTGATTTCAGCAAATGATCGTATTTCTGTGATTGCTCTGCTTTGCAAAATAGGGAAGCCTCAGGTATAGACTCAGCATAAAAGAATGTCTATTTTATAGCATTTAATATAAGCATTGACTGCAGAATACTGCTTACTCTTTAACCAGGGCTTCACTTCTAAAAACACTCCCACTTCCTTTAATTGTGCTGCGGGGAAAACACATAGGGAACCAATTATAGTACTTTCCTGAAATAATATAACCACAGCGCACTTACTGCAGCGGGGTTTACCTTTGTGCCCTAGAGAGCCATATGCTCTTATCACTATATAGCAGGGAGTAAACTTTAGTCAGGACGCTTACCAAAACCCCGAGTGCAAACATCACAGAATTGCAAGCAATTTCTTTGTTTGCAGGCAAAGAAAGAGTTAAGAGGAAGTGCGCGAGGYTGGCTGCAGGAAGCCCAAAGCACCAGGGCTGCACAAAAGGTGTTTTACAGGTCGTTAGGAGAAATTCGGTGCTGTTTGTCTGCCTGATATTCCTCCGGGTGTCTTAAAACCGTGTATTTTCCTGGAGGAGGCATTTTAAAGAGAAAGGAGCATAATCCCCCGGCTGCCTTTTTTTTTTTTTTTAATTTATTTTTTGCCTCCTATCTATGTATCAGTGCCCAGTGGTCACCCTTTTCCAAGCCTCACGGTGCCACTGCTGTTCCTGCGGGACATCCCTGTAGCCACACTACTTCAGTGTACCCACATGTAGTGTGAGTAGGGAGGAAGCCAAGGCGCTCCGAGAAGCTCCTTTCCTAGGTTCGGTTCTGCAGCTTCTAAAGTTTCTGCAACTTTCGCAATTCCTGCAACTTGTGCAGTTGCTCCGAGTTGGTGCGCGGCCCCGGCCGGGCCCCCCCGCGCCGCCACCCACCTGCTTGAGCTCGCTGGTGAAGTAGAGGAAGGTGACGGCCACGCAGAGCGACTGGAGCAGCACGGCGGCGGCCAGCACGAGCGCGCAGCTCTGCGCCGCGCTGGGGCCGGCAGCCAGCATCGTCCTGCGCCTCTGTGCGCGCTGCCCTGCGCGCCTCCGTGCGCGCTGCCCTGCGCGCTGCCCTGCGCGTCTCCGTGCGCGCTTCTCTGCGCGCTGCCCTGCGCGTCTCCGTGCGCGCTTCTCTGCGCGCTGCCCTGCGCGTCTCCGTGCGCGCTGCCCTGCGCGTCTCCGTGCGCGCTTCCCCGCGCTCCCGCCGCTGCTGCCGGTGGCGGGACGGGAGGAGGGACAAGGGCGCCGACACAGCCCTGCCCTCCCGCCCCGCGGCCAATACCGCCCCCCTTATAATAAACCTCCCTGGGATAACATTGCCATGGATAACAGGGCTTCCTCTTCCTGGCGCTGGTGCTTGGGAGCGCGCTCGCTTTGGGAATGATGGGAGCGCGGCTCYGCAGGGATTGAGGTGTGCGGAAGGTCCTGGGGTTTCCCGGCCTGTGTATCCCCCTAGGTTATCTCTTACAGCTGGTGGGTCCAACCGTGGTGCCCCTGGCACGATGTCGTATGGGGGACGGTATGGGGCAGGTCTCAGTTTGGAGCTGCAGGGACTTGGACAGTGCAGCTTCTCATCTCCCATCACAGCATCCTAAAACGAGCCCGGTACATCCTTTATGTGAAGGATAAATCTTTAATCTGAAGTCACTTTTGGAGGTTTTATTTTTTTGAGTGTTTGTTTTCAAACCTCTGTGGTTTGCAAGCTCTTCTCCACAGTATTTCGCCCCAAATCGAAGGTTTCCAGAGGCATCCATATGATTTAGGGCATGTGTCCACTGACCCTTTCAGTAGGGGCCTGTTATCAGGCATAACCATGGGTTAAGCAGCAGCTTCCTAATGAGCTGTGAATGGTTCAAAACCTTTAGAGGAAGCACCACTATGGACCTACTGAGAATGCAGCCACACAAAATACCATTTTCAACCCAAACAGAGACATATATTCACTTTCATGCTGTTGCTGCAGGCCAGAATGAAAACATAACCCTTGCCTGAATGTCCTAACCTGAGCATTGGGATGCAGGTAGCTTCCACATGGGAATTATCTTGGGCAAAAATTAAAACAAAAAGCTCTTCTTGGAGCCTCTCATGGCTATCTGGATAGTCTTTAGGAGATGTAATTGCATTGTACTGAACCATTTACAGAGAAATTGTTTGGTCTTCCACCACAAACTTTCATAGCAAAATAATCCCTGGATTCCTGTTTAATATCGCAACAGGCAACTTGTTTGCCTGGCTTTTATAACCTTTAATCTCTATGCCGATTTGTGTCATTCCCACAGATGCATCAAATGGAGAGGATTACTGTTCTCTTGAACACAAGCTCATTCTCTCCTCCTACAGCCTGTCAGCAGAGTCACCATGACCTTCTGGGTTTGTCCCAGCCTCTTACTGAGTGACACCAGAGAAAGCTCCTTTGTTTTTAATTAATATGAAGTTTTTCTTCATATGATCTTCACAGCAGAAGTTTCCAATATATTTTAGAACAGGCACAAACGAATTATACAGAACAACTTGCTTTATCGCGGTTCATAAACTCATAAGAAGGAAATTTCATCTGAGAGAGCCCTGTAAAAAGTTGGTTTCGTTGTTTGTATTTGCCTCAGAGAATGAATTCCGCATTCTGTATAAGATTTTCCCAGATTTTTGTTCCAAATGGTCAGGAAGTGCTTATTGCATTTTCCAGAAACAAAACTTTCCCATTAGTGTTTACTTTTAGAAAAGAAACAAAAATGAAAGTAAGCCAGCCTTTAAGTTCTATTGTTCTCCTGGTATTCATCCTTAGGAGTTAGTCTCTACTTTTCCGCACATTTCTCCTGGTTTTGTCCCCAATCAATTATTGTAACAGAACTAATTAAATCTAATGGTTTACTGGAACCCGGTTAACTGGAATCCAGATAACTGGATAAATCTAGCAGTTCACTTTAAGATCTTCCAGACCATCAACTCATCTCCTAGATGTCTACAAGACATCCCCTTACTCTTCTTTTGAAATCCTCCATGGATCTTCTTTATCTTTGTTTAGTTATGGTCAGTATTGCGAGTCTAAATTAATGAAGCCTTTTTTGAAAAGAATAATGAGGAAGAATGAGGGAAAACATGCTTAAATATCCCTTCCAAAAATAAAACTTCAGTTTGAATTTTTCAGATCTTAAAAAGTTATTGTACATTGATAATGCATTTGGGGGTTTTCCACACCAATGTAGGGTAAGAGGAGATTGAAATTCCAACTGTTTTCACTGTAAAATATACTTAAGACTATTTCTACTGAATTTCCACATTCAGTTATTTTTTTCTGTAAGAAATGTGAGCTTATGCTGCCAAAATTTTATTTTGACGTTTCTAAGAGTATCGCATCACTGTTTTGATGGAATTTTGCCCCAGTAAAATGCCGGGGTCACGACACCAGCAGGAAGGACTGTCGTTAGCTCCCATGAAAAGAAAAGTCCCGCGTGTCGGCGCAGAGCCGCACGCAAGGAGCTCACCAGCGAGACCTCTGACTCTTCCTGGCTCTTTCATCCCATTAAAGCCTACCCAGTGAACCGCTTAATTAGACATAAGCCTTAATCCCTGTCCCATGCCAGGGTAATGCAGGAAATCCTTGGTCTCGGGACCTGTACAAGTGGCATATAAAGAAAACGCTGTGGCCTGAGTGCTCTGAAACTTCTTTGAAGGCTGTGAGTGGCCTCCCCTCACCCAACCTCGTGATGAAGCAGGCTTGGGAAGCAGGATCCAGCCAGCACGGAGCTGACCTTGCACAGCGGCCCGTGTTCTTGCACAGCTGTGGGGCCAGATGGCAGCTTGGCCAGACTCACACCTCTCCTTTGCTGCCAGCTGTAATTGCAAATTCATGTCTTCATCACGATTTAGACTGTCCTTGGCTCAGAGCGAGGACCTCCTCACCAGTGCGATGCCCTTTCTGCGTAGGGTGTCACACAAATAACAACAATAATTGCCCCAAATGCAGGTAGGCATGATTTTTTTCATGCCCACCATGTCTTTCTTTCACTGTCTCAAGCAGTGGATTTGGTAAATAGAGCAGGAAATATACGTGCATGTGCATACCAATGATTTCCAGTAATGCCCTAGCATTAATATTTTAGATCTGACTTCAAATACTTGATTTTTACTTGATAAAATACTTAGTATTTGATCTCTTCATGCATCATTTAGATTTTAAGCCTTACCATTAATTATGTCGATTATATAGGGGACCTTTGAACAGTATACTTCCCTTTAGGAGTGCTCTTCATTTTTAGTGAATAGCACTTCATTAGCCATCTGCAAAACCTTTATACTTAGAAACCCACTTCTTGAGTAGAACATTGTCACTCTTTACTCTGTAACATCAGTACTATTATGGGACAAAAGGGGACTTCTTTTGCTCAGTTTACACCGAAAGAGCAGTTATATTTGTACAAGGGAGAGCATGTACAGGATGGTGATTCCCTCGCTGAGAACTGCCAAGCAGATTGGAAGCACTATTAGCACTATTCTCCAGTTTAGTGAATCCTCACAAGATCATGAGCTACGTTTGGGGTTTGTCTCCATCGTCTCCAGAACCTCAGCTCTCTCCTGCTGTTTCCTGACCCACTGAGTCCATTTATTGGATTGCCATGGCTTAGAGGGGCAAGAACGTGTCTTTCTGATGAGGCTAAACTTTCCCATTAAGTTTGGTAAAACTCCCACAAACAGGGCACTACCACAGCCCAAGTGCTCCAGGAGCTGGAACCAAAACACGTTCGAGCAAAACATGGGGACGTAACCTAACGTTGGCAAGTTGCTCTTGCCAGGCATGCCTTGGTCTGAGATTCCTTGTTGTTTGCCTGTGTTACAGTGGAAATGATTTATGTGTCGTTCTTTTAAACATTATTGGTAGAGCTGGTAGCAGCTCAGAACTTCAGGAAAGTGGTGGAATCTTTCTGTTTTACAGCAAAGCCCTGCGAGCCCTGCTAGCAAAGCATAACATTTGATTATCTTTATCGTAGATGAGTGCCTTTAACCTCCATTGAAAACAGAAGCTAAATATTTCTCTTTAGGGTGCCAGATGTGTATGCAAAAAAAAAATCTTTTTAGAAGCTTCTTCATGGTAAAGCATCTTGTCATGTGTTTGTCTGACTTTGCCTGGGATGTGGTTTCCTCCTGGGAGAGATTAAGGACAATACACAAGGTGGTAGAGAATTTAATGAGATCTCTGCTGCCTCGCTGAGAGAGACCTGCTGTTCATACACCTGAGGGCTCGATGCAGAGGGACTGTGGTTCCCACTGGGACATGCTCTTCTACTGAGCCACCACATGCTATGGGTGCCAAGAGACAGAACATGCCATTGGGGATGTTTTCTTTTTTTACTTTTATCAACAGCCTTTCTCATTCCTGTAACTAGGGAAAAAAAAAAAAAGAATGGGCTGGACAGTATATTTGTATATGTTAATCGTGTGGGTTGTGCTGAAAGCACAGAGTGAAGCTAAGACCTTGGCTCCTTCCAGCAGAATCTTATTTTTCCTGCAGGCTCAGCTTGGCCTGGCCTAATGTATTTGCATTTACACCTGTGCAACCGTCACAAGGACGTAGTGATGGCAGTGGGGAACAGCTTTGCTTGTATGCACCCCTACTTAAGTGCATACATAGCAGAAGGATCCTGTCACTTCAGTTGGGTGGTATCTGCACCACCTTGAACGTTGCTCATATCAGATGGACAGTGGTCAATGCTGAGGGGGCTGCAAGGGGTTGCTGGGCTCTGTCAGGGCTGGACCAGACCACAAAGAGCATTCGAGGGGACCTTCAGAAGGGCACGAGTAGGAAGCACGTGCCAGCACGAGTGAATATGAGGTACAGAGTGTGGGAAAATCATTATTTTTGCACACTGCTGAGTTATGAATTAGCTCGAGTAAACACTGGACTGAAACATTGGACTCAGTAAAGATGCCAATGAAATCTGTGAATGTATCTGGGATGTTGGACTAGATGATCTCCAGAGGTCCTTTCCAATTCTGTGATAGTGGCAATGAAAAATAGACTTTTAATATTATA